AGTAGTTCAACATTTAAGCTATCATGCCTGTAACTTATTATGACTACTGGTTGCTTGTAGTGCTTCTAAATTTCTTTCAAAATATTCTATGTTGTACAACAAATTATTCTCATTTCAAAGGGAAAAAGTGCATAGGAAACACATTTAAAATAATACAAAATAGCTCAGCAGTGCATTAAAAATACACATTGGCTTGAGACCTATCAAGTTTCAGCTAAGTAAAGTGCAGGTGAAGGCACTTAATTTCACATTGTTAATACTTAATTGTGCAGAACTATAATTAGCACCATGAGAAAAGGGAACATGTGCCAACATAACAACTTCGCACAAAACCATACATTATACATCAATACCACAGTAATGTGACATAAACCTTTAAAGAACATCTCGTATAAAGTGCAGCAGACTCAGTGCTAATTGCTTTAGCCTCAGAAAAGGCACTTTCATTGCAAAATGGCTAACGGAAGTTAGCATCAGAGCTAGCGGCAAGTAGCATGCTATGCTAGCGCACGTGTACTGCCTGGGACTTACCATGCAAAGCAACAAATGCTACACGGGGCTTCACAGTGCTCACGTTGGCTCACGGCCTCTGGAATACAGTATTACTCTTATTATTCTTGCCGAAAAAAGGACTTTCTCTATCCAGCTAGCTTCTTCGCCACACGGGTAAACTGATCTTTCACCGTCTGTGTCTCTGGCGTATCTGACTGGCACATGAAGGCGCACAGGTGTCTGAGCAGCGCACAGACTGGGGAGAGTCAGACCGGCCAATGATTGGTCGCTCAGTGGATCTGACAAACACACTCTACAGGACTAAGTCCTGCCCCACACCATTTATACATTACATATACATATGTACATATTAATTAAACTTATGTTTACATGCTTTTTATCAGTATTTATTATAATTAACTTTGTTTTTATCAATATTTATTTATACTTTTAATCCTGTTTTTAACACTGGGTTACATTATGGAAAACCACACCAGTTTGCTGTGAGATGTAAAGCAGAAGTGATGGAAGCCCCGAACATCCACATAAATAGCACAAGTTTTTAAGGGGCTTGCATGCATGTGTGCGCAGACACTACTGGTAATGCTTGAGCAGCCTGGAAACAGTGGCCATGTTGAGCTTCAGTGTGGGTTGCTGCTAAAGCTATCATAAGATATAAGAACTGAGTTTAAAAGATAACTGTACTGTAGGTCTTTATAACGTGTGCTCCAATTATACTTTTTCACAATTTATTATCAAAACGGTTAGAATTTTAAATTAGTTTTACATGGTGCCATGGACCTCCTTTTACTGGCAGAGGGACAATAGGCTGTCACAAACAGGCAGTAAACACTTTTTTATTATGTGTGACAAAGAGTCGAAAAATTTGTTTCTTCTTCTATAATTTTCCAAGCATCTCCTTATTTGGAAATAACCCTTTTGCAAGCAACGCTGCCATTACCATGAAAAATGCCTCTTGTGCTCCAGTCTAGCCTGTAGATTTAAAGACAGGGGAAGAGTGCATTAAATAAGAGCAGATTTATGGCTGAGGCCACATTGCTGTGAGGGCGTCCTCTCAATGTTTATGTTTGCCAGTGAATCCAAGAGTATTCAACTATACACTGTTGAGAGTAAAATACAAAATAGAAATATGTGTTGCTAGTGTTGAAATCTCCCAATTCTTTGAATCTTTGGGCTGAAGGAAGGACAATACTCGGTGTATTTATGCTCAATCAACAATACTTTATTTCCATACAATTCAACACTTAAGAGCATAAGGACCATCATGATGGGGAGACATGCCTGAAGAGGGTCACCGCAAATCTCGAAATGGTGACGTGTTACTCAGCTTCTTATAGCCGCTAGTGGCCCCCACCTAGTCGTAAAAGCCCAAACATTCACATTCTTTCTCCCTTACGGCGCCTAAGTTATGACCTCGGCTGTTGTTTCTCTACTCTTTGTAAAGGTGGGGGTGTGGAATGTGGTCTATCTCCCCTGTCTTAGACACAGAGTCTCCTTCTGTTTATGATTCAGCAATAAAACATGTCAAGAACACAGTATGAGACATTCACAGCAGATCAAGGATACAGAGTGATGCACACTTATCTAATAAACTAATAAGTGAATATGTTCTTTTAACTCAAAAGTATAATGAGAACTAAACTACATACACAGCACACCATCTAAACTAAATGATAATATATGACCTACAGCAGTTAACATAATTCAACTATTTTAACTACAGGTGTAAGATAACATATGATAACAGAATAATCTCACACTCGTTATGAGATATAAGCGTCTGTCAGTGCGCCCCAGGGTGGCTGTGGCTAAAATGTAGCTTGCCATCACCGGTGTGTGAATGTGTGTGTGAATGGGTGGATGACTGGATGTGTAAAGCGCTTTGGGGTAGTAGTAAAGCGCTATACAAATACAGGCCATTTACCATTTAAAAGTTGTGAGATTATTATATTATCTTATGCTATGTTATACCCCTAATTAAAGATTGTGAAATTATTTTGTAGTTTTAGTTTGCATTATTCTCCTGAAGAGGTGATAAGTATTAGATTTTTTAAACTGATTTGTATTACATTAGACTGCTGATTTATTGTGAATGAATGATATTGTTTTATGATGCATTATACTGCTGAGTTATAAGAAATACTGTTTTTAGAGAGTCATGGCCAGAGGCTATAAGAGTTTGAGTAACTTTCCATCATTTTGAGATTTTGCTGTGACCCTCTTCATGCATGTCTCCCCATCCGGATGGTTTATACTCAAAGTGTTGAATTGTATTGAATAAAATAATTGTTGATTGAGCATTTATACACTGAGTATTGTCCTTCCTTCAGCCCAAAGATCAAAAGAACTGAGGATTTAACAAGGTAAAAATAAATCCCAGCAATACCCTCAACATATCCACATCCCCACAGTTGTTAGACTATGAGCTGGGGATACAGAAATCTGTGTTTGAAATCCTTGGGGATGCTGTTAAAGCAGATAGGGACCCACAGAAAGACTGACGCAAGGATCAAAGGCCAAATATCTCCACAATCATTCTCCACGGTGCTGATCTGCCAATAGGTGTCACCACACTGGAGTTCCCTTCACCATCAAGCAGCAACCAAAGGAGCTACAAGTGTATTGTCCTTACTGCTCCAACTCTGAGCACTATGTGACACAGTGAGACAACTTTTGTCAACACGCGATATTGGATCATGGATTTTCCAGATATCTGATACGCTGTGAAGATATATGAATAGCTGAAAGAGTTGCCTCTGATCCAGTCAGTTTCAGCTTGTGGTCCTGATTTTCTACTATTGTCCACATCTCATTACCCCAATAGAGCCAGTGCATGTGGTGCCACCAGTTGGACCAGCTACGAGTGGCAGGACCACCCTTTTGATGCTACCTGTCGCACATGTTGTGCGACCGTCGCATTACAAAAACATGTGAATGTTGTAAAAGCACTGTGACTGAAAAAGTGATTTGAAAGTGCAAATTTAGGGAAATTGTGTCGTAACCACATTTTGCGAGGAGTGCTGTTTCCCTGTGATTTCTTTCTATCTTTTCTTTGGGAAAAGAAAAACAGTTATAAACTCCTCTCTATAAACACTGAGCTTAACAGTGAAGTTATGTTTCTGCAGATACCTATAAACACTTTGTCACTGATGTAAGAGGACCAAAAAAAAGCTGTAATAATAAGTAAAACCAAATATGTTAATTGAGTAATTTGATTTATTCTTACATGGAAAATTATTTGCTGCCTTCTTTTTGTGAACAACATTTTCACTTCCAGGTGACTGTTGGTGTAATTTGGCGATGTATAGATAAAACTGAATTGAAACTTCTGCTGTACAGCTCACTAAGGAGTCCTCTCATGGACAGTGTGCAATGACACAAAAGAACAACTTCAATTTCACCAGAAGCCTTACTGGAGATCAGTTTGGATATGTAAATGACACTTTTGTACATTAGTCTGAGATCAGTGCTATGAGAGTGACTTTAAGATCACAACTTGATTTGAGACAGAATCTTGGTCCTGGAAATAGCTCTAAGATATCAACTGAGTATGCCAAATGAGATGACAGGATCAAGGAACATCAAAGTACCACAGCAAAGAATAAATGCACATATGAAAGAGGAAGTATCACTGCTATGGAGATTTCTTGTTTTGCATACAGACTCAGGACTGCTGTTCTCCTCTTGGCATTTTCTTATATAAATATTTTTGATTTTGAACCTCAGAATTTAGCAGCACAACACTTCAATTCTTTTTTCCATCAAACATTTCATTCAGCCACTGCTCTCCCCAGGTGTGCTGGATTAGATTCAAATGCAGAGTCTTCTGTGCTGGTAAAAGAGGCTCTTTGTGAGTTCATAAATTTAAAAAAAAAAAGAAAAAAGAAGAAGCTCACGTGAATGTGGAGGCCACAGAAAAGGACCGTACCAAAGAGCACTGCTAAGACAAAGTGATTCGGGCCAGTAAAGCAGTTGCAGAGCAGCTGGCCAGGACTTTTTTTTTTCCCTCTGGAGAGTCTGCAAAATTGCTTTGTGTGATTTCAAAAGATTTTAACATTAGCTGTGTTACTCATTGACTGAAGAGAGTCATACTTCTCCATATAATAACTCTATTGACAGTCGACAGTACATTTTTAATTGATTATTGATAAATGTTAAACAGTTTTAAATGTTATGCAATGAGTGGGGAGTGGAGTGAGCTGAGCAAAGAAATGAAATCAGTAACTAAAAAAAGGTCAGTGCCAGAAACAGTACGAAGAAGAAAGAACTGACCAGTGGCTTCATAATATTCAATGAAAGTAAGGATGAAATAAACATCTGACTAACAATACATTCTGTAAATTGGGGAAACATGGTAGATGGAAATAAGACTTGTTTTCAATAAGAGACAATAGAAGATGTTTTATTTTTCTGTTCCAGTTGGTGGCGGTAATGCTCCAGAAACCTCGGTCGCAAACCGCCAGCAAACAAGAAGAAGAAGAAGAAGAAGTAGCAGCTCCCGGCGCGTTTAAACAGCAGAAGGTTCGCTTAAGGAATAAAGAGTATAACCAGAGTCATCATACGTGTTGTCTTCCAAGGGGAACTTTAGGTTTTATTTTCAAGCCGGCTATGGCAAAGATCGCGTGGCTGTGCTGAGCTTCCTTTCTGCTTCTCCTCTGGTCTCCGGCAGACCGCATTTCTGTTTCTGATGCGTGTTTGGAAAGATATACGCTCTCGTAGCTCACACAGCTTGTTCTTTCTGCAAGGTAGCCAGTAACATGCTGGGAGGTCAGATAGCCCACTGTCTCTACTAGTCCTACTCCAACTACAAAGCCCACGTGTCTCCTTCTCCGCTGGTGGATCTTTAGGTCGGGTTATTCTGAGAGGGGATCCAGAGTGAGTACATTATAACTACATTGGTTGCTTAACTCTATAACTGTTTACAGGGTTTCTCTCTCTTAGCTATTTTTTTTCGTTTGTTCCTTGTGTTTAACGTCTCGGTTTGTCTGCCTGGAGCTTCCAGCAGTTCAGGACTTAAATGTTTAATCATTTGAGTTCAGCTATTTGTTTTACTTCTTTTGAAGGTGGTGTACTGAAAGTTACGATTATATGAGATGGATAAAATACAGCATAATCCACAATTAATAACAGAATCACCAATCAGTAATACGCCTTGATGCATGCTCAATTATCCAGGTAAGTAAACCCCCAAATTTGATTGTGTTCATCTGGACGTCTTCAGTGGGAGAAACGTTTCGTCAACTTGGATGAGTGACGAAACGTTTCTCCTGCTGAAAACGTCCAGAATAAACTTTCAGGGACCAACCAGTAATGTGTCTTTAAATTGGCACTGTTCTAGTGGCAGCCTGTTGTAGCAGCTCCATGTCTACGTAATGTTCTTTAGTTTCGTTTGCGGTTCTGTCTTTTTCATTTTCTTTCTGTTTAATCTTACTATTTTGTTTTAATTATTTTGCTTTCATTTATATATCTCTGTATTTGTCTTAATATTGATCCATCATAACTGTTTCTAGGCTCATTTGTATGAGTGCTTGTTCTTTGTTGCATATTTGCTTCTATGACAACTCAGTTTCACTCTGCGATTAATAGAGTTTCTCTGAATCTGATTCTAATGTTGGTAGTGAATGTATGAGTAAGAATAATTCTATACAATATAGGGCTGCACGATTAATCGTTAGAAAATCGCGATCTCGATTCATACTTATGTGCGATCTCATTTCCAAATGACAACGATTTAAAAAAAAAAAAAAAAAAAAAGACGACGACGATTGTACCGCATTTTGATCCGGGACGTAATCTGCATGAAAACAAGCGCTCACTCTTCCGCTCAACAAATGACAAGGACGGAGCCTTATACCACGTGATACAGAAGCTGTGCCGTGTGATGCTAAAATTAGCAGGGAAAAACCAACGGAGAGCACGTCAGGGATGACGAGAAAGTGACAGGAGAAAGTCCGTCCCGGTCAACCACCCAAACATCAATAACGGGAACCTTCCCTATACCCGTCGAACTCCCGCAGGCACAAAGAAATTACGGAGGCTATCACTTATCACCTGACCAAATATATGGCTCCCATCAACACTGTGCAAAACGAGGGATTTAGGAAAATGATCAACGCCCTAGACAAACGCTACACAGTGCTGTCCCGAAACTATTTTTCTATTGTTGCACTACCTGCACTATACACGCAGCGTCGAGCAACGGTGGAGATGGAATTTCAAGCAGTACAACATTTTGCGGTTTCAACTGTTACGAAGTTGATGTGCAGTTAATAAGTGCAATAAATATTTATACTGGAAAAGAAAATCGTGAGAGAATCGTGATCTCAATTCTAAGCCAAAAATCGTGATTCTCATTTTATGCAAAATCGTGCAGCCCTAATACAATACAATGCTCTTAGGTAGTGCCGTACAATAAATCACTGAATAGAAAAATAAAGATCTGTTTGATGACACAGGCGACTGATGGGAGGAGGAGAGTCTGATGGAGGAGCAGCTCAGCCACTGCAGTGAGATCTGTTCTTCATAAAAGGTGACAAAAATAAAAATCACCACCATTATCCTACAGACATTAAGCTGCTGTTATTATGATTATTGTTAGTAATAATAACATTTATCCTGCACACACTGGCATCTTGCCAGTTTATACCAAATGTGGGACAAATCATTGCTAAAGAAAAATAATGTAAAGCAACTAGTATTCCTTAATGTTTCTAATCTTTCTTTTGTCACCGAAATACTTCGAAAACATTGCTTCTGTTTAAAAAATATATATTTGTGGTACATACCCACACTGAATGGAAAAATGAATATCTATTTGATGTCACTTTGAGTCTAAAATATAAGACATAATATATTTTACAGTTATTCATTATTGTTTTCTTTGCCAAATAATTCCTTTTATCTCGCTTCATATATTTGACGTATATAGCTATAAAGTAGAAATTAGTAAAATAAATTAGTAAAAGTAAAAACCATTAAATGAGCGTGTGTGTCCAACTTTTGAGTGGAAGCGTACCCTACCGGTCAAAAGTGGTAGAACACCCTAATTTCTGAATTTTTTTTCAATTGAAAATTATGTAGCTTAGTGTTTCATTGCACTCTGAAACGAAACCATAGTATAAATAATGAGTTGGAGTTAAACAAAGAAATCATGGAATCAATTTATAGGCCTGGCAGATAAAACAGCTGAACATACCTGTTTTATTCTTTATATTCTTCAAAAAGTTCTTTCCATATGTGCTGCACAAGTTCTGCGTGATGAACCAAAGATTTCAAATTTTGATTCATTATACCTTCCAGTCTTCCGTAGTTCAATGGCAGTGTTTCATGGCTCAGGGAAACCTCTTATACTGATTCTTCTTATTCTGATGTCTCAGCATTGGCTTTCTTGCTGCAACTCATCCTATCAAACCTGCAGCTTGAAGTCTTCTATTCACTGTTGCAACTGACACTTGATTACTATGACCACTATTTATGTGCTTGAAGCTTTTGTCCTGTGACTCAGCTGTTACACAACCTGTCAACTCTCAGAAACCTGTCCTGGTATTCAGTTGTGGCTTTGGGTCTGCCAGACCTCTTCCTGTCAGAGTTGTCCCAGTTTCTGAGGGCTTTTGAATGGTGAAGGAAAATGTATTCATTGACCCCTTGACTTTCTTTGCTATTTCTCTCTTCTAGAGTTAACTGCCTTGTTCCTCACCTTTTTTGTGGCAAAACATCACTTTCTGCAGTACAATAATGTTCAACTGATGCTCATAAGGATATCTTACCACAGTGTGTTCCAACACTGCTTTTATGCAGACAGAGCAGTTTGTAAGTAATTCAGAAAGGTTGGAACACTTGTAGGAGTTAGTCGCACCAGGTTTCAAGGCTTGATGATGGGTGGTTTGAAAAAATAAATTTCCCTGATTGAAATGTATTGTAGTTTGAATAACACAATAATGATTAAAGAGCAGGCAAACAGATTCCGCCAAAATATTTAAATATAACGCGCTGACCTGCCGTCTGGTGCTGAAAGTCGACATCTCACAGATTCTGAAACTACAGGTTGTATCACTGTCTGACTAAATTCACTGAACCAGAAGCAAAAGAGCATCAAAATTATGCTTCATGTTTGATAAATATTGTCATGAACTCCCTCTTGCATTTGCTGTCTTGCTTCCACCACTAATCACACTTGCTCTACAGCTCTCTCAGTGTAGTTCAAGACTAGTTTGCCATTATAAAAAAAATCTGTTTTTTGCATTATTTGCTTGCTTATCATGCATCAGTCTACCGATGTGTACAGTGTTGCTGCCCATTGTTTTTGTTTGTTTGTTTTTTTAAAGTGCCATCTGACCAGAAAGCTTAATTTCTGCTCATTTCTACTGAAGAAATTTAAACTTTTACAAACGATGCCAAATTGTAAAATGCGTAGCCATTTCTCTAATAAAACCTCTTCAACATTGCTCTACTTTAGTTCAGCAGCATCAGGTAATGTTCATATGTCGATTCGTGGTTTTCTTCCTTTTTGGATTTACTGGAGAATATTTTCAGGGGGTTATCTGCTATAAAAGCCAGGACTTTTTTTTACAGAGACCTAAATATAGCACAGGGGTTAAAACATAGCACCAAAAAAAGAGATGACCAAAATATTGCACAGAACAAGGAAAGACTAAGATATTGCACATGGGATGGCAGCAACATAGTCAATGAACAGCAGCAAGAGAGTTATTGTATGGAAGAAGTCTGTTCACATTCTTAGTTTGCATTAAAAGTTCTGACAGCCCACGGGAAGAAGGTGGTTTTAGTCTATTGGTTTTGCAACTGGTGGAGCACCTGATGGATCTTGACTATAAGATAACAGACCTCAAAATAACAATATATACAAATGGTAAATGAATTCAGTCCTAGCCACTTTGTCACACACTGCTAGAATAATAGAAGGTTTTTTTTTAATGGGGTTGCACACAAACGCAAAGCAGACGTTGATGCATTGCCAAATATGCTTCCAAACCAACTTCCTTCCAAGCCAATGACTAGAAAATGATCACTAACTACTCCTGAAATGTTGGAGGTTTTAGCTCTTCATACAGTAAAGTTACAGGAGAAAAAATGTTCTTTGTTTGTTAAAATAATCCCGTCCGGTACCTCGTGAGAACAATAAATATATAATTTTCAGTTGTAACCCTCAAACTGAATGGTAATGTAATCCACTCATTTTTTGCTTCATCACAAAACTCAAACATTACTACTTCCACGTCTAATCGTTTGTAATGGAGGCAGAGCAAACTGGATCCGCAGTCCGTGCCTGATAGGTTTCTAGCTTAAACCTATTCGCTGGAACGTTCAAGAGAATATACTACACAGCAAAAGCAAGACACGAGTAGGCAAAGTTCTTTGTGTTACCTGCCTGGAGCCAAGTGTCGTTCCACCGACTTGACCTCCGTCAGACTCTCAGCCAGTTTCCCAATAGCACTCCTTTTATTGTGGTTGCATGAATATGCATAGGTTCATTAACATATGACGTTTCATATAGGTATACATGTGGACAAAGAATACCTTGTGTGTGTGGGGGGGTCAAGATGTGACCCCGTGAAGACTCCCCAAAGCTGGTGCCAGGAGTCTGGCGGTCCATCTAAACAAAAGGCTCTTATACTTAACCAGATACAGAGTAGGTGTCCTTCTATACCATAAATCAGTAAGAGCAGATATGACCTCTCTCCTGACCTTAAGTTGTATGTGCATGCCAGAGTGCTCTGGGAGGCACACAGAAAGATCAAACCTCTACCAGCATGACATTGATTATGAGTAGATACTTCTAAGCATAAATGACAATCAACAATACAAATCTAACAGTGCCCAGTGAATGCTCACAATGCAGGGGGCACAAATTTAGTTGGTGATACCTACCTTGTCACAGGATCAGTGCTGTGCCAATTTGGTGCAATCATGGACAAACAGTATCCCACAGTTGTTTGTGTTTTTAAACCCATCTTGCACAGAGACAATTTTTGAAAAATGTATTGATAGCAGTGTTGAATATTCTTACACGGTGTAAAAAAAAAAAAGAAGAAAAAAAACTATATTCTTTTTTCTTTTTTTTCTTTTTTTTTGTAGGTTTTGTTGTTCCATAACTGCGTGTCACTATTTTGATTCTTTGTCATCATAGGCAAAAGAAGGAAAAGCAAGCCAAAACCTCTGCACACCGATGACCTAAAAATAACCCACCCAAGGCCAACAAGTACAGATAAACCAGTTGTGATCCCTGTGGAAAAGACTTTTACCACTATGAAGCAAGCCAGAAGACACCAGCGCACCGATAGTGGGGACAGAAGCTTTAGATGTGATCGTTGTGGAAAGTCTTTTACTCATAATAGCAGCTTAAAAAGACATCAGCTCATCCATGCTGAAGTTAAACCCTTTAGCTGTGATCGGTGTGGAAAGTCTTTTTCTCAGCATCACAGTTTAAAAAAACATCAGCTCATCCACACTGGATTTAAACCATTCAGCTGTGAACAGTGTGGAAAGGCTTTCACTTCCAAAAGTAACTTAAAAGGACATCAGGTCATCCACACTGGAGTTAAACCATTCAGCTGCGACCAGTGTGGAAAGTCTTTCACTTCCAAAAGTAACTTAACAGCACATCAGCTCATCCACACTGGATTTAAACCATTCAGCTGTGAACAGTGTGGGAAGGCTTTTACTCAGGATGGAAGCTTAAAAAAACATCAGCTTATCCACTCTGGTGTTAAACCATTTAGCTGTAATCAGTGTGGAAAGGCTTTTACTCACAAAAGGAACTTTAAAGAACATCAGTTTATCCATGCTGGGGTTAAACCGTTCAGCTGTGATCAGTGTGGAAAGTCTTTTACTCGCAAAAGTCACTTAAAAGGACATCAGCTCCTCCATGCTGGAGTTAAACCTTTTAGGTGTGATCAGTGTGGAAACTGTTTTACTCACAAAAGTCACTTAAAAGAACATCAGCTTATCCATGCTGGAGTAAAACCTTTTAGGTGTGATCAGTGTGGAAACTGTTTTACTCACAAAAGTCACTTGAAACAACATCAGCTCATCCATGCTGGAATTAAACCATTCAGCTGCAATCAGTGTGGAAAGGCTTTTAATCGCAATAGTCACTTAAAACAACATCTGCTCATCCATGCTGGAGTTAAAGCATTCACCTGTGATCAGTGTGGAAAGTCTTTTACTCATAGAAGTCACTTAAAAGATCATCAGCTAATCCATGCTGGAGTTAAATCATTTGTCTGTGGCCAGTGTGGAAAATCTTTTACTCATATTAGTAATTTAAGAAAACATCAACTCATCCACACTGGAGTTAAAGCTTTTGTCTGTGGCCAGTGTGGAAAATCTTTTACTCATATTAGTAATTTAAGAAAACATCAAGTCATCCACACTGGAGTCAAATAATTGTTTTGTGATCACTGTGGAGGCTTTTACTTATATAGACACATTTAAAAAGCACCAGATCATTCACACTGGAATTAAAGCATTTGTGGTCAGTGTGGAAAGTCTAGTTTAATTATCTAAAAAAATAAAGATATCAACCATCTTAAAATTAAAACACTGAAACGTGAATGGGGTGGAAAGTTTTATATCCATAACACAAACTTGTTCAACTGACAAAGTGTCCCTCTGTAACAAAACTGGCAGACCGTCGTGACAGTACTCTGACAGAGTTCTTTTGGACAGAGTGAGAAACACAGCTGATCTGAACAAATCTTCTGTATGCCTGGTCAAACTTAAAAACTTGATCAGGCCTGACAGAATTCAGCTTTAATCTCCTGTTCAATGCTACTGCGAGAAAGTCCGTTATATCAGTTAAGACCTTCTACATGCTCTCTGGTGAAAGCGAGTGTGGATAAACTTTGACAGCATTGAGCAAGCTAAGTATTAGAAAGACTTAGGACTAGGTAAAATGAGCAAGTAAATGGAAAGAGATTCACAGATGTGATGTTTGCTTTGAGGGTTTGATGGAGACTGTCAGATCTTCACTATGTCTTTGTGGATCTGGTGGTGCAGGACATGAAAACAGAATGGTGAAATGTGTGGTAACAGATTGATTGAAGGTGGGGGTGGGATTACATCCAATTCTGAGCCCCTTCTTGCTACCAGTTGTGATGGACAGGCTGACATGCAAGATAAGTTAACAGTCTCTTTGGATTATCATGTTTGCAGATGACATTGTTATCAATAACCCACTGATCAAAGACCACTGATCAAGGTTTTGGTCAGTGGTTGTTGGTCAATGGTAGGGCTGCACGATTAACACTTTGAGTCACCGAGAGCAGCAGTGCCCAGCCTTCTACCTTTCTACCTTTAAAACCCGCCTTCCAGCCAAATGGCTGGTAGGCTTTTAGCTAGGCTTTAGCTTCAGCCAAGTGGAAGCTAAATTGTCTAGTCATTCATATGTAAATTAGGTTGTTATCTGGGAATTCTGGAGGGGAGTGGGGTGTGTGAATGAGGGGGTGGGGGAGCTGCTAAAAGCTGTGAACTTCCTTTTGTGTTCGTCTTGATGCATTCTCAATCATCCAGGGAAATAAATCTCCAAAAGTCACCAACTCGGAGTGTTTCAGTTTGCGATATTAGGGAGAAATCAACACACATGGGTTTATTTCCTTTGTTGCTGAGATTTATTGATAAAAACAGTACAAAAAACCAACCATTTGTACACATATTTACAAATAATAATAAAAAGTGAGTGAGTACATTTCAACATTTTCAGCAATCACTCACAATCCTGGCACCGAACCGAAAGGACTGTATCGAACGGTTCAATATCGATACGAATACCGTTGCACCCCTACAATATATATTTATGTGTGTGTGTATGTATTGTGGAGCAGGGAAATTATTTTACTGCTATTGGTAAATAATCATCATTACCATTGCATTAATAATATAATCTGCAGCATTGATATTGCATTCAGAGGTTTAAACAGTGTGTGTGTCTTTCAGAAAGACTAAGTTGCAGGAGTTGACAGGAAGTTGCAGAGAGTTTGCAGAAGTGAAAGCAGAGTCTAAGTTATTCTGAGGAGCAGGTTAGACGAGGCTATTTGAATTACTAGGTTATTCAAATTGTCTGTTATACTTTATATTCTTTTACTAAGCTTTTAGTAGAAGTTCTTGATTAAAACATTTATTCAACATAGTACATATAGTTTCAGTTAGGTTATTACACATAAGGATGAGCCTCTGGTCTGGTAAAAGGTCAGAAGTGCAACGGGTGAATTGAGAGAGCATTTGAGGACGACACACACACACACACTCAGTTAGAGAGAATCATTTATAGGTGGAAGTTTAATCATGTTTTGCTTGGGGTTGCAAAAAGAGCAGTTTGTCGCAGAACTGCTGCTGAGGTGTCAAGATGACAAGCGAGCATCCGGCAGTGACAGGAAGTACCGGCCATGAAGATAGAAGACAACGTTCTTTTAAACCGTGTTAAAAGTCATTGTGGTTTTGATTTGACGTATGCATATATTCTGTCTGTGACGTATGAAGGGGCATCATTAATTCAAACCCTGATGCTATAAAAATCTGTGTATGCTTTGAGTAAGTCGAAGATCAATCCCTGTCTGTGAACGGAGCTGGTCTTCCCACGCGTGTATTAAAATCATCGTTTGACTTCACCCGGCCGGATCAGTGTGGTTATTCTTCGATCACCTCTTGTACCCTTCCTCAATTATGTGAACCTTAACAGTATATATGTGTGTATGTGTATGTATGTATGTATGTGTATATATATATATATATATATATATATATATATATATATATATATATATATATATATATATATATATATAATATATATATATATATGTATATATATGTATATATATATATATAAGTGCAAGATGCTAGCAGGCAAGGCATACATGGAACGCCATAACCAAGTGGCCGGCATAGTGTACAGGAACATCTGTGCCGAGTATAACCTGGAAGTCCCGAGGTCAAAATGGGAGATGCCCCCAAGGGTGGTGGAGAATGACCGAGCTAAGATCCTGTGGGACTTCCAGATACAGACAGAGAAAATGGTGGTGGCTAACCAACCGGATATAGTGGTGGTAGACAAACAGAAGCAGACGGCCGTAGTGATCGATGTAGCGGTTCCGAATGACAGCAATATCAGGAAGAAGGAACACGAGAAGCTGGAGAAATACCAAGGGCTCAGAGAAGAGCTCGAGAGGATGTGGAGGGTGAAGGTAACGGTGGTCCCCGTGGTAATCGGAGCACTAGGTGCGGTGACTCCCAAGCTAGGCGAGTGGCTCCAGCAGATCCCGGGAACAACATCGGAGATCTCTGTCCAGAAGAGCGCAGTCCTGGGAACAGCTAAGATACTGCGCTTGACCCTCAAGCTCCCAGGCCTCTGGTAGAGGACCCAAGCTTGAAGGATAAACCGCCCGCAGGGGCGTGCTGGGTGTTTTATATATATATGTATATAAATGCGCCGTATTTGATAGCTTGCTGCGAGACCTCACACCGAGCACATCTACTGCGGGTGGGTTGCCTGTTATGCAACATCCCCCAAAAACCCGAAGAGGAGAGTCCTGGCCCCTAGCCCTGCCAGTGTAGCAGAAATGATGAGGATGATGATGCAGCAGCAGCCGTTCTTTTCTGCGTGAGTAGCTTATTAATGTTGTTCGTGTGTAATTTACGTTGAGTAGGCTAACCACGTTATTACATTAATGCATGTAAGGTGAACTAGCAAACATCATCATAGCTACATGCGGCTGTCCTCTTGTTTGATGGCAGATACTCCCTTCACCCTGGCCAAAAAGGCTAAAATGACCAAAGAAAAAGTGGAAAACAGCTAAACATGAGAGGTTTAGGACAAAGTTTGTTTTTTCCATTGTTTAAGCACTGCTTCCAGCCAAGAGTGATACCATATATGCCCCATAGCTGCAGAAAAGGCTAACATTGTTATCTTTTTACAAAAAACAGCTGAACATGAGAGGTTTTTGGACCAATTTTGTGTTCTCCATTCTTTAAGCACCGGTTTAAGCACCGGCACCATTTCAAAAGTACTGATTTGGCACCGGTATCGGATAAAACCTAAACGATACCCATCCCTAGTCTTCACAGACATCTTCAACTCTTCACTGAGGCAAATGATCGTCCCCGTGTACTTCAAGTCCACCACCATCATCGCAGTGCCAAAGAAATCCTCAGTATCCTGCCTAAATGACTATCGTCCCATTGCCTTGAGCCCCATCATCATGAAGTGCGTCATGAGACTTGTCATGGCACATGTGAAGAGCAACCTCCCCTGCTCACTGGATCCGCTGCAGTTTGCATACCGGTGTTCCAGATCTACTGGCGTTTAGATCTACTGGCGTTTAGATCTACTGGCGTTAGTCGAACAGATGTGTGACAGTCTTGCGTTTCAGGAGCTGCTACCGACAAACCAGCAAAAAAACGCCAAATGTGTTACCTGTGACACTTGTGAGGTTATCTCAAACACACTCTGTCAGTCTTGATGCTGTTGAACAACAAAATGTTTAAAAATGTGGCGAGTTTACCTGGTGATATCCTCATGCGTGACGCGATCACGAAAACAGCAAAAAATTAACACCACGCCGATGTTGTTCACAGGACAGCAAGAGTAAACGATCGGGAGACTCTTGTCGTCGTTATCGTTCCCCTCGCACGGTTTATTTCTCCGAATTCAGCGTTTTTGCTTCACAACTACAGTGTGTAGTTTACTTTGTGCACTAACATGGACTCGAGTCAACCAGCGCCACCTCTGGCCAAGTGCCACAGCCTACAGCCAGATCAACTTGTGACACACATCTGCACCACGTTTGAATTCGTGTCATGCACATTTGTACCTTTCAATTGTGTCAAATGACTGTTCAGTACAGAAAGGAAGTGAGGCTTCCTGGTCAATAACCCCTTGTAAAATTTACCAATCACACCTTTAACTAGGGTGTTTTCATCAGCCCTCACAAAAATTATTCGATTGCATCATCTACTGTAGGTCGGTTTTGGTGAGAAGTAGTTCCTCAGTTTGATGTATCTAAAATAGTTTACATTATTAGGCTGGTAAAACATCTTCAAATGTTCAAAGTTTTGAACTGTTGTCGCCTTGAGGCGACAAAAGTTGCCTCAAGGCGCTGTATATTGTACAGTAGATCGTACAATAATAGATACAGAGAAAAACCCAACAATCATATGACCCCCTATAAGCAAGCACTTTGGCGCCATTGGGAAGACAAAACTCCCTTTTTAACAGGAAGAAACCTCCGGCAGAACCAGGCTCAGGGAGGGCGGCCATCTGCTGTGATGCTGCTACCATTAAAGTATCTGAATTTTATTATTTATTATTATAACTTGTATTCTCCTTTTACTTTATCCCATATTTTCCACTGAGCTTTGATCCATGGACTTTGAAGATTGCTTGTATTGGTAGGTCTTTAATTATTGAGAGCTTGTTGTCCTTCCATCTAGCGTGGAATTTTGATTCTCAGAAATAAACAAGAGGCTTGATTTGAGCCGCATAGGAAGGCTAAGGTTTGGTAAGGCTCAACATCCCTCTTCTTTAGGAAGTGGTAATGTTTTATATTTAATCCTAGCTCTCCTGCCTTGCTAGTCTGACATTTTTTTTTATTTTTATTGGGGGGAGGGGATTAGAGATCTGATCTAGATTATTGTATGGGACACATCGTCAGTAGTGGACCTTGGATTCATCGGGTGTTTCGGCAACACGTTCTCACTCCCAACTTGTCAAATGTGTGACGCATGGTCAGGCTACCTCTGCTTCACTTATCAACGCACAGGTTACCCCCTTGCATCGAGGATTGACGTGCAGGGTCCTCTCATTGAATACTATAGAGCTCCCTAAACGTAGATATTATTACGTGTTTTACCGTCTTTATGGTGCTAGCTTAAAGTTGCGGTGTAAACGTTAGCTTATATTGTAGTAAAGCTGTTGCTGTTTAAACGATGTTAGGACAGAAATATTAGCTTCTGTCATGACTGATGAAGTTACTAGTTAATAAAGTTTCCAGTAAAGTGATTAATCGCAGCCACAGATTTACAGCAAATTAAGACGCTGTCTTAATTCTCCAATAAGCCAGGGCCAAGCCAGCTCCTATCAGCAAGAACCCTGTTATCATGGTTCCGAATAGGTAGATATCTTCAGCGTCCGCGATCGACAGTCCCACTAGGCACACGATCCTCCATTTCTGCCACCCATCCATCGTGTATCCGGCAGGGAAAGTCCCTGTAGGGCACTTGGGCTCTCCCGAGCCAGGACTTCTCATTGAGAAAAGGGTGTCAATAGCATTCAGAGATTTGATCAACTGGTCTAGTTGATCAAATCCATAATTCTCTTTTAGGTTTTAGAGAACGACTGTGAGAGACTGTTCCAGGTAAAGTAATACACACGAGACAGGACAAGGACACAAGAGGCTAAGCAGGGAAGATAAGGGGAAGGAGGAGAGGAGAAAAGTGCAACTGCCTTCACCGAGAGCCAAAGAGAGAACAGCAATATATTGGCCATATTATATTTACATTACCGCAGTGAGATGATTTTAGTCTCATGAACAGCATTAGCTAATTGTTATTACTAACTAATCTTGAAATGACTGTTCAGTACAGAAATGAAGCCCAACAATCATGTTTCACAGTCCTGTGGTCTCAGCCTCAGATACTCAGCTAATCAAAGTGATGTCATGACAAAAATGAATGACCAACAAAAAATTTTTCTCCTTCATTTCTGTCAAACAATGCTGTATGTAACGTTTCTCGCAGTTAGTATCATGGTTGCTAGGCAACCTGAAGAGGGCGACGAAGGCTAGACCGTCCCATTTCACAAGCCTCTCACTTCCGCACTGCTCGTACTTATAGTACGCACCGTACGTAGTATGCGTAGTGTGCGTACTTCAAGCGTGCAGACCCTGAATTGGGACAAAGCCATGGACTGGAGATACAAACAGCCACAACCACCTACACACACACAATGGACAACTTACCCTCATACACACAATAATAACATGGACTGAACCACCATTCACAACCACTAGCATTTTATATAGCCTCTGTAGAAATTATCCACATATCTCACTTATCTTAACTGAAATACTGTATAATTCTGTGTAAATAATCATTCTGTACAATACGATAATTTTAATTCTACAACTGTTTATAACTTGCATAGTTCCCATTTCTGTATAGCTGTATATCTCATATTTCTGTATAGTTTTTTTTAATTTCATATGTCTGTATAGTTTTTCACATTTATAACATACCTTCATACCGTGTACATTATAACATACCATAATAGACCCATTTCTGTAATATATTTACATATCTATATTATTGCTAATATATATTTGTAATATATCGTTATCATGGCTAAAGCACTTCTGGATGGATGCAAGTGACAATAAAGCTGAATTCTACTCTATTCTATGCTATTCTATTCTGATGAGCGAATCATGAACAGACTCCCAACCAGTTGGTGGCGGTATTGCACCACATCGTTGTTTGCCAACGTTTGTTGCCAACCGTCGACAAACCACAAAGACGAAGAAGACGTAGTGCCCGTACCCGCCCAGAGCACAAAGTAGGCTTTCAGAAGAAACAGTGTAACCACAGTCATCATACTTCTTATCCTCCACGGGGACTTTTAGTTTTTTTTCTTTGTTTGTATTTTTAATCCGTCTAAGGGAAATATAGTGTGACTGTACTGAGCTTCCTTACTGCTGCCCTCTGGTCTCCGGCATATCACGTTTCTGTTTCTCATGCGTAATTGGAAAGATATACGTTTCGTAGCTCGGAAGCTTGGTCTCTCTGCAAGATAGCCATTAACGTACAGGGAGGTGAGTGAGCCAGCTGTCTTTACTAGTCCTAGTTCAACTACAAAGCCGGCCTTCTCCGCTGGGGATCTTTATTTCGGGTTATTCTGAGAGGGGATTGAGGGCCTTATTTTGTTTTAATCATTTGTGTTCTGCTAGTTGTTTTTCTTCATATGAAGACGTACTGAGTATTGTGATTTCATGAGGTAGCTAAAAATACAACAGATTCCACAATAACAGAATCACCGACCCGTAATATGTCTTTTAAGATGGCGCAGGCTGTTGTAGCAGCTCCCTGTCTTCTTTCTTTTGTTCTTACTATTTTTTTTTAAATTATTTTGATACCTTTAGCTCAATATTTATCTTTTATATAATATTTATCCATCATAACTCTGTTTCTGCACTCAGTGAGTGCATGTTGTTTGTCGTATATTTCCTGCTATGACAACTTAGTTTTCCTCTGGGATTAATAAGGTTTTTCTGATTCTGATATTGGTGCTGAACCTACGAGGCAAAATAATGCTACACAATACAATGGTCTGCAGTAGTGCCCTACAATAATACAATAAATTTAACTGGCTTAAATATAAAAATCTTTTTTCTGTCACAGGTGACTGGCAGCAGGCGAAGAGTCTGCTGGAGGAGCATCTCAGCACCTGTAGTCAGAAACATTGGTTCTTCATCGAAGGTGACAAAGAAAAATCGCCAACATTATTCTACAGACATTAATTGGTTATTATTTTAATAATAATAACATCTAATTCTGTACACAGTGACATTTTGCCTGTTTATCCCAAATGAGAGACAAATCACTGCTGAAGAAAAATAATGTTCTCAACCTGCTTACATTAAATCAATGGATGGATGAAGTTAGCCGTTTTTAACCCTCCTGAAAATAAGCTTCTCAAGGATCAGTTTTTGGTCCTGGATTTTTTTTTTAACCTTTACACACTCTACATGTTGCTATCATAAAGTATCTGATGATATGTTCTAGTGTTGCACATGATACATTTTTCACAGCTGATACACAGTTGTGCTTTATTCCCTCTGATAATCTCTGATAGTGTATTTTGTTAATAGTATTACATCCTCTGCACACTTTGGCTGCTCTGAAAATGAAGGCAACAAACCAGAGAAGTTTGACTCCCTGGAAGAACTTATAAGTACACCTACACTGAAGACTAATTTAGGAGAACCCCTTTTGACCTGGACAAGAAAAAGCCCTCTATAAAGTTATGAAATCTTAGTAAATGAGGAAAACAGGAACAGCTCTGTAGCCAGGCTGACTAAGCCACCGGTCTAATGTTTGGACACACCTTCTCATAGGGCTGTGCGATATGACCAAAATCTCATATCCCGATATAAGACATCTATCCTGATAACAATATAAATCACAAAAATGTAACATTTTCTGTAAATTCTGTGAATCTCGGGCAGCTCGACTTGTATGAAGTGTTTCCAGCTGGGCGTCGTGTACCTGGAGTCGAGTGTTTTAACCGATGCATGAAACGATGCAGAAAGTAATATACTGTAGCCACTACAGTGACCATCAAAACGATGAAAAAATATTGCCGTAAACAGTTTATTTTGCGACACCACGAAACAAACGATAGCGTAAAATGAAACAATAGATGTTTTCATATCGTCATCCGATACATATTGTTATGTCGAACAGCCCTACTTACTTTACTACCTTCTCATAATTTTTCTATTTTATAATGGCTTTTTACATTTTAACTACTAATTTAAAGGATCAATCTCCAAATGAACACTCATGGAATTAAGAGACAAAAAACTGTTAAATAACTCAAAACATATTCATATTTTAGATTCTTTAAAAAAATTCAGATTCTTTAAAATAGTCAGTTGTCTTGATTACTACTTTTCTCACTGTGTGTGTGTGTAGATATATGTATGTATATGTACTAGAGCTGGGCGATAGAACGATAACGATATGTATTGCGAAATAACTTTTTCTCGATAGAAAAGTTAAACTATCCGGTTGTTCAGTGATGACGCGACGAATCCTACTTCCGGGTCTAAAGTAGTCTGCGTTTAATATGGCTTTTGTGTTGTTAACATGTTTAATGTTATGTATTTTCTTCTATTTGATCTCAAAAAGCTCCTAAAACAGTCAGTGATCACTGTTGACCTCCCTCGGCTTTTATTACTGCTAATCATTTATTTAAGCTCAGTTTTTAAAACCTTAGGATGTACCTACAGCCCAGCCCATGCAGCAGTATATGAATGACTAACCTCGTATTGTGGATGGATTATCTCAGTTGTTCTCCTGGCTGAAGTTTGGTCCTTTTACAGCATCCTGCCATGCGATTACATTTGTTCCTGACCACCGAGAACACTCACGTTAGCTTTTATCGAGTGGAAAAAAAGTTAGCTTGTTTATATTATGCTAACATAGCTGTGTCGCTAGCGGTCACGTAGCACATCATTATATACCAGGTAGCTCAACTTCAGTAACCCTACAAACGTCACTGCTGTTTTCATTTATGCTGGAAGTGATAACAGAGCTGTACGTTTTAATTTGTTTCCAAAACCCCGCAGTCAGGACATGCTATATTGTATTTAGATAGAAGCTAGCGAGCTAACTCCCTGCTAACTTCTAACTCCGTTAAATGTCATAAATTCCGTTTTCATGGATGCCTGGATGTTAAACTCAATTGTTACACCTGGTAGAGCAGATCGCTGATCATTTTATTAAAGATGAAAGACTTTAGACAGTTTTTCAACTCTCAGTAATGCCATAGTGATCGTTTGATATATGGACCTGCAGCGGAGTTTAGACCCAGACACGGCTAGTGACGTCAGACTGAACAACCGGATTGTGATAGGCCTCATCTCTCTTGTCCTCTTTTAAAAAAAAAAAAAAAAAAAAAAAAAGAACAGCCAATCCAAATTAAGTAGCGCAGAGCCGAACCAATCACAGCTGCAGCGTCACGTGACTTGTTACGTACAGCAGCGGTCCCCAACCCCTCGGACCGGTACCGGTCCGTGAGTCGTTTGGTACCCTGTCGCGAGAGTTGAGGCTCAGGTGTGAAATGTATAGTTTTCAGGGTTTTTATCGGTTTTCAGCGTTATTTTGTTATCGTTTTTATCGTTTACTCGGTTTTCCTTGGTCTTTTCACGCGTGTTATGAATAAATTTTCTGTTTTTCGGTACTGGTACTAGTTTTATTTTGTTGTATTTATCCGCGACACCTTAAGGGCCGGTCTATGAAAATATTGTCGGGCATAAACCGGTCCATGGCGCAAAAAAGGTTGGGGACCGCTGACGTACAGCACAAGTGCCAAGCTGCACATGTGTATTTGTTTGGGAAGCAGCCAGTGGCCGTGCCGCCTGGGTAATGGAGGAAATTAGTGTGCGGACTAGAGAAAATCAACCGAGAGCGTGACCAAAGGTTACCGAAGAGAAAACAGATGATGGTTCCAATGTCGGAGAGATTGTCGAACGGAAGAGCCATAGAAGTTCCGTAGTGTGAAGGTATTTCGGCTATTTCAAGTCTGACAAAAAACAGAGTAGCGTGCACTGTAAATTGTGCCGAAAGCAAGTCTGGAAATACAATAAACCGGTGTATGCTCAATCTCTGACTGAAAGCGCTAATTCGTCATTCGGCTTTTGTCAAACTAAAGTAACTGTTAAAACTGTTTGAAAAGGTAAGCTATACAACAAGGAGAGATTGAGAATTTCCTTTTAGTTCTCAGTTTATTTGATATTGACAGAAGTTAGTCAGTTTTGTCTGTTCTTCTGTAAAACAAACTAAGATTTATTTTTAGAATTAATATTTTGTTTCTAAGTGGAATTGACAATTTAGTAGTGTGTTTTGTTTGTCCTATTTTGAAACTTAAACGCTTTAGCGGCTGCCTTTTGTGTAGTTTGCAATATTTGCCTTTATTTATCTGAAAAAGTCTCATGTTCCTTAAGTACATCTACCCTGTTGAACTTATTATGGGAAATAAATATTTGAATCAAAACAAGCTGCTGATTATTTCACAATTTACTTGTGAGCAACGGCACATTTAAATCTTACAAATATAGTTATTTGGCTTATATTGTGATAGATATCGTTATCGCCGGAAATGAAAAAAAAAAACATATTGTGATATGAAAAAATCTATCGCCCAGCTCTAATATGTACACTTTATAGGTTTTATTATTCCATTAGTGCATTTCACTGTTTTAGTTCTTTGTCATCTTTGTCATAGGCAAAAGAAGGGGAAGCGTGCTGAAACCTCTCCAAATTTTTGACCAACCAATGCCAGCAAGTAAAGATGAACGAGTTGTAATCCCTGTGGACAAGACTTTCATCACTATGAAGAAGGCCAGAAGACGCCAGCGCATTGACAGTGGAGACAGAAGCTTCATGTGTGATCAGTGTGGAAAGGCTTTTACTCGTAATAGCAGCTTAAAACAACATAAGCTCATCCACACTGGCATTAAACCATTCAGCTGTGATCAATGTGGAAGACATTTCAATCACAATGGCAGCTTAAAACAACATCAACTCATCCACACTGGAGTTAAACCATTCACCTGTGATCAATGTGGAAGGTGTTTCAATCAAAAAGGCAGCTTAAAACAACATCAGCTCATCCACACTAGAGTTAAACCATTCAGCTGTGATCAGTGTGGAAAGTGTTTCAATTATGTTAGCAGCTTAAAAAAGCATCGCCTTGTCCACACTGGATTAAAAGCATTTAGTTGTGATCAGTGTGGAAAGTGTTTCAATCACAATGGCAGCTTAAAAAGACATCAGGTCGTTCACACTGGCATTAAACCATTTAGCTGTGATCAGTGTGGACAGGCTTTCATACATAATAGCAAGTTAAAAAAACACCAGCTTATCCACACTGGATTAAAACCATTCAGCTGTGATCAGTGTGGAAAGACTTTCACTGAGAATGGCAACTTAAAAAGACATCAGCTCGCTCACACTGGAGTAAAACCATTCAGCTGTGATCAGTGTGGAAAGACTTTCACTCAGAGTGGCAGCTTAAAAAAACATCAGCTCATCCACACTGGATTAAAAGCAATTAGCTACAATCAGTGTGGAAAGCCTTTTTCTCCGAGTAATGGCTTAAAAGAACATCACCTCATCCATGCTGCAAATAAACCATTTGTCTGTGCTCAGTGTGGAAAGTGTTTCACTGAGAATGGCAACTTAAAAAAACATCAGCTTGTCCACACTGGCATTAAACCATTCAGCTGCGATCAGTGTGGAAGGACTTTCACTCAGAATAGCACCTTAAAAAAACATCAACTTATCCACACTGGATTAAAAGCATTTAGCTGTGATCAGTGTGGAAAGACTTTTACTGAAAATGGCAACTTAAAACAACATCAGCTCATCCACACTGGATTAAAAGCATTTAGCTGTGATCAGTGTGGAAAGTCTTTTTCTCCGAGTAATGGCTTAAAAGAACATCACCTCGTCCATACTGCAGATAAACCATTCACCTGTGATCTGTGTGGAAAGTCTTTTACTTATAGTAAAAGCTTAAAAGATCATCTTCTCATCCACACTGGCATTAAATCATTTGTCTGTGGTCAGTGTGGAAAAGCTTTTACTCAGAGTACAACTTTAAAAAAACATTTACTCATCCACACTGGAATTAAACCATTTATCTGTGGTCAGTGTGGAAAAGCTTTTACTCAGAGTACAACTTTAAAAAAACATTTACTCCTCCACACTGGGGTTAAACCATTCACCTGTGATCAGTGTGGAAAGTCTTTTAGCTGCATGAGTTCCTTGAAAGAACATCAGGCCATCCACACTGGCATTAAACCATTTGTCTGTGGTCAGTGTGGAAAGGGTTTTACTCAGAGTAAAACTTTAAAAGAACATCAGCTCATCCACACTGGAATTAAACCATTCAGCTGTGATCAGTGTGGAAAATCTTTTACTCGGCGTAGAAACTTAAAAAAACATCATCTCCTCCACATTGGTGTTAAACCATTCACCTGTGATCAGTGTGGAAAGTCTTTTAGCTGCATGAGTTCCTTGAAAGAACATCAGGCCATCCACACTGGCATTAAACCATTTGTTTGTTGTCAGTGTGGAAAGGGTTTTGGTTGCATGGATGCATTCAAAAATCATCAACTAATCCACACTGGAGTTAATTAATTTTTATTGGTCAGTGCTGAAATGCGGCCAATTCTATGTAAACATTTTAAAAAATCAGATTGTTCACACTGCAATTGTAGCGTGTATTTAATTGTGGTAATTATGAAATTTGTGGAAACTTTCATTTATAACAAATGTTACTGAGGCATCAGCAAATCCACAACATATGTCGTGCTATGACAAAACTGGCAGACCAATGTGACATTACTCTGACAAAGTTCTTTTGGACATATTAAGTTTGAAGAGGCTCTACCGATTGCAGACTTCTATACCTGTCATTGTACTGGGTCTTTGACCCAGTGTTTTGTGCTTTTTGACATTAGCATTCCATTTGATTGAATATTGTAATATTTAATGTTTATTTCTATTTATATTCTTTTAATTGTTTTTCTGCTTGATGTAATATTTGTAATTTCTAGTCTTTAGGTTCCGTTATCATACCTCCCCTCTTTTTCACATTCTGTGTTTTGTCAGCAGTGGCAATCCTAGCCTGCTTGGTTCCCTGGGCGAACACCCACTCTGCCCCACACCCACAGATAAAATATATGTATGTTAAGGATTGTACATGCATATAAAGCATATTTTACTGTAAAAACTGTTGTTGGAACCATACTGAATTTAGTCAGATAAACACACACGCACATACATACACACATGTGTGTATGTATATTTATATGTGTGTGTGTATGTATATTTATATGTATGTGTGTGTGTGTATGTATATGTGTGTGTATGTATGTATATATATATATGTATATGTATTGTGGGATTATAATATTATTTTATGCCATGTTAGATCCCTAATTAAAGATTGTGAATTATTATGTAGTTTTAGTTTGCATTATTCTCCTGAATTAGAAGGTGATAACTATTACATTTGTTAAACTGATTTGCATTATATTAGACTGCTGATTTATTGTGAATGAATGATATTGTTTTATGATGCATTATACTGCTGAGTTATAAGAAATACTGTTCGCAGAAAGTCATCGCCTTATTTGTCTGATTAGAAGAGAACAGAACATACTGGAGTTTTCTGCCCCATCTCAGCAGGAGCAGATAAACAGAGAGCCAAGGTCGTAGCTTAGGCGCTGTGTGAGAGAAAGCATGTGAATGTTTAGGCTTTGATGATAAGGTGGAGGCACTAGAGGCTATAAGAGTTTGATCAATGCTCCACCATTTTGAGATAAGATGCTGTCTGCGTACGGTGTCCATCTCCCACGCGTGTGATCATTAAAATCATCGTTTGACTCAACCCGGCCGGACCAGTGTTGTTATTGTGGTTTTTCCTCTTGTATCCATCCCCAATATTTGAACTCGTAACAGCTTGGGGGCTTGTCCTGTGGTATTGGGGTGGAAGTTGGAGGTTTGGACGGTCCGAGGTTGTCCAACGGACAGGCACAAGCCAGTGGTCTGACGTGAGTGGGCATAAGCCGGCTTATACAAAGGTAAGGCACTACCTGTTGAATCTATTTCCAAAGTGTGCCAAATTGGACATGATATTATTAAAGTCTACTCACTGAAATTACTGGTGGATGTCTGTTTTGATGAAAAATCTCATGAGTTAAAGCAGTTAGAGTCTGCTAAGAAGAAGGTAAAGCAGTTAGAGTCTGCTAAGAAAAGTTTAAATACTGGGTTAGAGTCCCAAGAAATTGAGTTAGAGTCTCAAGTAGTTTGGTAGGGAATTGGTCATTTTGTTGGTTAGAGTCCAAATTGGTTATAAGAGTGGACCTGAGTGGTCATTTTGTGAGTTAGAGTCTCCATTGACCTCTAGGTTGCACTTGCCTCAGTCAGACTCTTGTTTTGGGGTGCTGACTGTTGTTTCAAAGTGTTATAAATTATTATAGGACGGCAGTTAGAGTCTGCTAAGAAGCGCATAGCCCGGAGGTTACGCTCCCTCCTGGCCATGGACGCGCGACCTTGACCTGTCGGCAAACAGGGTTAGTTCAGTTTGGCTTGACTGTGGAGCTTGGGGCACTCCGGAATAAGCTAGGAGTTAGAGTCTGTAATGGTATCTGCGCTTTTTTGGACACTGTTAAATTGAGTTAGGGATTTTAGAGATTAGGCCAGATACAGTTAGAGTCTGATACTGGTTAATTGATTACAAAAAAGTTGGACTTTCTTCGGTTGGACCCGTTAACTTAAATTTGTCAAAATTGTGTAGGCGCTAAATCTGTCAGGCCTTACAGTGATTGTAAATATAAGACGTCTGTGTAATATAAAGTAATAGAGCTGTGTGTGAGACGAGGCCGTGTGTGACAACAGCGCGCTGCAGCGCTGCGAGCTATTTTTAGACGGTGTGTGAACATGCAAATGAGGTGGCTGCTGTGAAGCGCACAGAGGACTTTTGCTTCCTGTTTAGCGTGTTTTTGAGTTTTATAATTATGATTTGCAAGCAATGATACATGCCTGTAAATAAGACGCTGATTTTGCTGATTATAATATTACAAATAAAGTTTTGAATGAGGGTGAATGTTTGATGCTTGGCTGGGTTTTGATATAGAAGAGACAAATCGTGCATGATTTAGACCGGCACTTCAGTCGGCAGAGTAAGATTGTGTGATAAATACAGCTGTGATTTGTTTCAGTTTTGTGGTGTGAAATATGTTGGGTTTTAAAACTGATGTAGAGAAAGGAGAAATAAAGGGAGAGTGAAGAATTATTGAGAAGTAGAGAGAGGAGTGTGTTGGGAGACTGGCATGTAGTCTGCACTGTAAAGGTGGGCGTGTTGCCTGCTGGTCTATTTAACAGTGATGAAAATGATATTAAATAAATCTCTTAGTGTGTTAATACAGGTGGCTATGGGCCTGGACCAACTGCCCCCCACAAGCACAGCGGCCGAAGCAAAATTATAGTAATGGAAACCACACTCAGCAAGAATCAGCAGCTGTGGAAAAGACAGCAGCTAGCAGAGAATTAGAGGAGAAAATAAGAGAAGTTTTTAACACATAAAATTGGGGCCAACAGACTTGTGGAGGTTGGGAAGGCGTCCGGAGCATCACATCAAAAGGTGAAACAAAAACACACACAAGCAGAGAAATGTGAGAGAAAGGCACGTGTTAGAGAAATGCCTCGTTTGATAAAAAAGTTAAATTAACCCACCTACAAACGCACACACACGCAATGAAGAAACAGCTTACATTCATGAACATGTGAAGATTTTCCAGCAAGGTTAAAGCAGCGAAACTTAACATAAACCTGTTGTTAAATGATAAAGGTTATCCACTACTAACAAATAAACTCTCTGGGTTGCAGGACAATAATTTAACTTCAAAAATAAGGACACTGGTCTGTCCAACTAGTGAAGACATGACAAATTTAGTGGTTAAAAGAGTCAAATTGTGACATGTTTTCTGCTGATTGATTAATACAAGTGATTACTAAATCAAAGAAAATTCCATTTTTGGGGTTTTAAACATGATCTTAAGAATTTTAACATGTACATGTGTTGTCCTGTCAACTTGGTGGGTTATGAGTTGATTATATGGTGAGTGAAGGAAAAAATGTCCATCCCGGTTTTCCCTCCAAGGCACGAGCGATAAGCAGAGTTCTGTCCTTTCCTTCTAAGATTCCTAATTATTTAAAGTAACACTCAGGTATGCCATTCAGCGTGTTAGTACGAGCTCGGGAGCAGCTTGGGAGAACAAGAAAACAGAGACTGCTTTAGGTTGCCTTCCCAATCGACTCAAAGGTTTATTTAGTACATAACAGCTTATATAGAGGAAAAAAAGGTTCGTGTGTCAGCAAGTTCTCAGTTCAAACCGGTACAGACCAAATAAGGAAACGTCTTCCTGCCTTGTGAGCAAAGAAGTATCCTGTGTGTAGTTTATCAGTTCAGCTACAATTTATGATCATCCCAGCAAAATACACTCCTAGACATAGAATACAGAGTTCTTTCATTAGTGAATTCTGAAACAAACCACCTGGCCTTTAACGAGCCTTTTTCTAAGAGATAAAGAAAAAGGGAGGATGGGAGTAAGGAAGTGGTCTCGTCTCTGTGGTATTTTCGACCTTGGGGTACCAGCCTGTGAGTCTTACACATTAATTCTTGGGTCAGAGAGAAAGAGAAAAACAACTAGTAGATGGGCCTTATTGAGTAACAGTTTTCCTGTATAAAACAATATCCTGTAAATGCTAACCGTGGTATCAAAATATCACAACAGTGAGAAAAAACAAAAAAAGGGGGAGAGAAGGCTGACACAGGGCCTGGTCCCGCTGTTTCTCCCCTCTCTGAATAACACAGCCAACACAACATCATTTTCCTGTTCGTCCGTTTTTGTTTTGTTTTTTCTCTTTATGCTTGATTACAGGCTGCTTTGTCGGCCCGGAAAGCCGAGGCTGACCTGGACTCCTGCTCTCCCCTCTACCATCTTTGCTCACTCCTCTACCATCTTTGATGTGACCCTGACCAAATGCTACAGCAGCTGAACCCACAACAATAACCTGAAAACGTCAACACTGCTGCAGGAAAACGATCTCATGCAGCAGAGACGGAGAGCGTTAAATCCAAGGCCCGTTTCACTACACGGAGGAGATTTCCAGGAAGCTTCAGCTGACAGAGCAGTGACGCCCATTAAGCCCGGATGAAAAGTGAGGGCGAGCAAAAGAATGCTGACCTTAACAACTCTGCATTAAAACTGTGCAGGACAGTGACGGACCAACACGGATGATCGGGCAGCAAAAAGGGCGTGCCAGAGACAGGAGGAGTAACTGAGGTCAGGAGGCACCTCAGAATGGACAAAACCACAAGAAGAAAATAAGCTGAAGGCACAGGTGTCGAGGCTCGGCCAGGAGCTGACCTCTGAGAAGAGCCGAACAGCAGAGCTGCAGAAGGCCGTGGAGCAAAGCAAGGAAAACATCAATGGACTTCAATCTGACGTGTACGGAAAAGACTCTGAGGTTTCTGCCCTCGGTGGGAGTTCAAGGCATCGGAGCAGAAACTGAGCATGGCTCAGGAGGAGCTGGCTGACAATCGAACCCATCAGTCAGGCTTGGAGTCCCAGACACAGGACTTGAAATCAGGCCGGAGCTTGCTGGAGCAGGAGGTTGCCAAACCTGACGAAAAAGCTCCAACAGCAGGAGCAAGCCTTGAAGGAGCTACAGAAGCAAAAGGGTCAA